ATTAGATGCTTGATGACACAGCTGTAAAGTTAACCCAATTTAAGGATTAACCCTCAGGTCTTGAGCTGTCTTTTAAGGGAATTAGTAGTTAGATCAGGGGCTGGTTCAGGTAATATTGGTGAGAGATTACAGAGGATTTGTATTGTTAATCAGGTGTTTGAGGTTAGTTACTAAAACTTGTGTCGCTATCTGTCAGGTTTATAAAAACACAGATACATTGTGTGTTTGACTATAATGCCGGTCTGACAAAATCGTCTGTGGCTCTGTAGACTCAGATAACACAACTAAATTCATCTCAAATTACCGCTGCAAAGCAAGCCTCATGAAGCGTGGGGCAAACATAATATTACAGGCAGTTAGCGTCCTCTCATATTGATCTACACAGTATGTGTGGCGTGATCTCGGAGCACTAATGAGGAATAACTCACAGATTATCTTGGAGGAACTGAAATAAAAGATCTGTATTGAACCAGCTGAGATTGAATCCTTTAGAACACTTGCATTTCCATGGAAACAACCCACATCTGACCTTTGTCAGAAAGCACTTAGAAGCTATCAACACATCTGTCTCTGGTGTTTGTTTGTGTGATTCACTCAGAGTGAGCCATCTGCTGAAGGCTACCTATTCAGATACAGCCTGCATATCATATATCAGGAAGCATAATATACAAAAGACATCAATACCCTATTAAAGGGGCCCTATAATGCTCATTAATAATCTTATCGTTATGTTATACAACAAAAATGATATGACCACTGATAAACAGTAGGGCTGCAAGCAATGATTTTTCTCATCATAGAATAATATGCCAATTCTTTTATATGAACCAAGGAATATTTATAATTATTGTTTATTTTCTGAGAAGCATTCAATATCTTAAAATATAAGACTAAGAAATCTGAGGAGCTGGGATATATTTTCCTTTTTTAAGTTACAGATAATAGGAAATATGCTCAATCATTCATACCAAGGTAGCAGTAATATCTCTGACTCTTAGTGAAAGTGGTAATTGGTTGATGTTACAAATCAATGAGGTTAGGAGTTATAAAAGCTTTATGGCAATATTGGATTACAAGATTTTCAACGTGATAAAGAACCTTGATTAGTCAGGAATGTAATTTTCTCTGAAATAGCCAAAACACAATTTCTCAAATAAATATCTAAAAAATAAACATTCTAATAATGTACCTTTTTTTTTTAAAGTTGCAGCAATACAAAAATCTGCTGATAAAGAGTTCATTTTTCCATACTTGCATATGAATCCACAGTAAGTTTAATTCATCTTTACATAATAATAAAAGCAGTGGTAACAGTGCTAATCCGCTGTCATAATTATACAAAATTAAAATGTAAAATTACAAAAGCATTAGTGTTAGTATGGTATGATATTCATTTAGACATCTTGAAATATTTATGTAGGGGAGGTGCCCTTACGATACATGACACCTTATACAAAGCTGTGTTCTTTTCTCTGTCTTTTTGACTGCATTTTCACATTTTAGGGTTTCATTTTCTTCCTCTGATTGGAGCCTCTGGAGTGAGAGAGGAGAGCATTACTGGGTGTCTTTGTTTGGCTTTTAGCAGCGGTGGAGCCCGTGTCGAGTTGGAGGGTTTGAAGGTGAAGATGCAGGGGGGAGGGGGAGGCGGGGGACACACGATCCTCTGACCCGGCTGACTCCAGACCACTTTCCCCTCGCTGTGCTTCCTTCCCTCTGTTGCCGTATCCCAGCCGCGCTGCACTGCTGCTCTGCCTGTGGCACAAAGGAGAAATAAGGCCACACCACAAACGCAGCGAGGTGATTAATCATTCATAGTAATGTAGGGATAATGCTCACTGTGTTCAAAGGAAAAACATTTAAACAAATATAACTTACAATGACCTCTTCTGCATTTGTGTAAGGGGATGATGTTGCTTTTCTAATGATGGGCCTGATGAAGAGAGGATACGTGTCTGCTGAGGTGAGGCTTCCTGTTCAGGAAAAGGCACAGTTTTAATGTAATTTTCTAAATCCCAAAAACAGCTGAATTTTCGTTTTTTTATTCAAGTTTGTTCATGTGTTACCCAAATCAATTCACATGTTTTCATCAGTCTTACCCCGGTGGCGTTATTTTGTGCTCTTTCTCTCAGTTTCACCAGGCTGGTGTACAGGGTCAGGTTCTCCTGCTCCAGAAGGTTTATACGAATATTATTTGCCTGCAATTGTTGCTCCATATCCAAGAGCACATTTCCTGTACCTGGAAAATATGAAGTGAACAAGTTTATACTTACAACATGATTAATCAACTCACCAAAAAAATAAGCAAATGGAAGCAATGACTGGATACAAGAATATTGTGCATGCTAACGAAACAGAAGCTAGTAGGTGCGCTTCAGGAGTGTACATAGCCCTGAGCTCGTTTTATCTACATACAATAAGGTAAGGCCAATAGGTGGATGATTCGTGCAAGATGTTCATAATTATGGAGAAGTAATGCAAATGATTGCCTACTCTGTGGTTGGGCTGTAGGGTTGAGTTCTGGGAAAGCGACTAACAGCCTCTCTCTTTCCCTTAAAGCTTGCACGTATTCCTTCAGCTCAGCCACACTGTTCTTCAGCTCGCCTGCGTGTGTTTCCTGCGTCTGCTTCTCCCTTCTGAGCTCCAAACACAGGTCCTGTTGGAAAGAACATCCCAGCGTGAGGCACTATAGCTTTATAAAGTCTTCGATATGTAATGTTTGATAATGCTGCACTATATATATCAAATACCTGCTGCTGAGTGAGCTGACCCTGCATTTGTTCCTTCTCCTCGGACATCTGTAGCAGCTGATTGTGAAGGACGATCTGTCTCTCCTCCCTCTCTCCCACCTGCCCCTGCAGCTCTTCACACTCTTCATCGAGAGCGTTCACTCTCTCCAGCAAAGACTTCTGCTTTGCCTGCATTGACTAGACGCAACAACACAAAACTATCCTTTATAAATCTATACAAACCCTGTAATGCTCTCCAGCCTAAATAACAAATAATATTGTGTTAGTGATGATGACACTGACCTCTTGCTGGCGACAGGCGCTTTGATACTTGGCGTTCTCCTTGTCAAGGCGGAGTTGAGTTTCACAGATTTGACTCTCTAACTCCTGGATCCTTTGCTGGAGTTTACCACAGGCCTCTTGCTCTGTGTGCAAAGCCCTCACTTTCTCCTGCAGGCCATTATTTTCAAACTCTACCTCATGAGAAAACGATCCATCATACAGCATTTCAGGTTATTTAATATGTGTCAGACAAGTGCAATTGATACAATATGCAAAATGTTAATATTATATCCTTACCAAGTGTCTGTAATGCATCTTGCCGCAGTGCTTCTTTCTCTTTCAGTCTGGAATGACTTTCCTCCATGCTCAAGGTTTCTGGTACAAAAATATTAAACATAAAGTCCTAAATGTGATATTTAGAAAACCTTTATGATATTATTATTATATTATAATATAATATATAATATATATATAATATAATCCGCACCTCTCTTGAGTTGTCGTTGCTCCTCTTGTAGCCTTTGCTCTGTTTCTTTGACACATCTCTGTGCTTTACTCAGTGAAAACTCCAGCTGGACTATGTTGGCTTGGTGTTTTTCCATCTCTTGCTTGAACGTTTTCTGTTTTCTTTCCAGCTGAGACTTAAATCTATCCCGCTCTGCCTCTGCTGCCACTAGTCTTTCTTTCAGAGGCTGCACAGTACTCCGCACTTCTTGAAGATGTTTCATCAGCCGACGCATGTCTCTGAGCTGCTCATTGGCCCACTGGGCAACATCGCCTGCTGTCATATGTCCCAGCTCCAGAGTGTCCTCCACAGCGACTAAGAGCGGCTGCAGAGAGGAGGGCAGGCTCTCACTCTGAAGCAGTTCCACAAAAGCATGTCCTGTTTGTATTAAAGTGGATTGCACTTGGTGGCATGCATTGCAGGGAACAAGGGATGATTCAACAGTCTGGGAGCTCACATGGTGGCTGTCAACCTTATGATAGCATGGGGTGTTGTGGGTAGAACTTGAAGGTACATGACTCTGTGGCAAAAACTTAAAGGAGCTTGATGAAGACCAGGGAGATAAGTAATCTCTGCTTTGGCTCATTTGGGGGGAGACCAATGACACTGTCTCTGTCCCATCACAGTCAAGTGTCTTTACTTTTCTCTGCTTCTTTGTGTCTTTGTAACTCTCCTAATAGAAGGGAAAAAACACAATACATAATGAGATTTCTAAGTAGATATTTTGCCATACTTTTTCTTGTTGTATCTTTACAAATAAAACAATTTGTATACCTTAAGATTGGCAAATTGAACTAAATTACTCCAATAGTTTCTGACAACAAGGCCAACTGACAGGCAGCCTTTCTGCTGGGTTTGGTCTCTCCTGTGGCTGCACCTTATTTTCTCAACATATGCATTAAGGCTTTGTAGAAGAAGCAGTAGCCTGGTGCAGAGAGATGAGAGAAAAAAGACACGTTCTTTTTTAGTCCTTAAGAAATATTTGTAAATGTGATATAATAACTTGAGTGTGTATGATCCTGAGGTGGAAAAAGTACTTAGAACTTGTACTTGAGTAAAAGTATAACTACTAGAGTAAAGTAAAAAAGTAAAGGTCCTGCAATCAAAATGTTCTCCAAGTACAAGTACAAAAGTATTAGCATCAAAATGTACTTAAAGTACAGATAGAAGAAGTACTAATTTTGCAGATTTGCCCATTGGTTGTAATTAATGATGCATTAAAGTGTTTTCAAAGCTGGCAAAGGTGCTGCTTGGGAATTTTAATTTAGGTATATTTCACATTATTAATCCGAATCTGCAAAGTAACGAAAGGTATTAAATAAGTACAAGATAAAAGTACAAGAAAAAAGTACAAGATTTACCTCTGATTTGTAGTGGGGCAGAAGTAAAAAGTAGCATAATATTGAAATACTCTAGTAAAGTACTTCAAAATTGTACTTAAGTACGGTACTTGGGTAAATGTACTTAGTTACTTCACAACACTGGTATTACCTGTCAACCAACAGTTCCAGTAACACAATGTGAGAGTGCTGATTGTACGCATCCTCCCCATCCACAAAATCGTATTTCTCCAGCAGAGCTACCATGTCTAGGTTACATGAGAGTTTATCGGGGAACTTCCAGGAAGTGAAGCGAACCGGTCCGGTTCTGGAAAAAACGTCCAATAGAGCACCTTGGAGGTCGACGACGTCTTTCCTCAGGCTTTCAATAGAGTCCTGACGACCCAGAAACTGACTCATGTCTAAAAGGCTAGCTTATATTTCGTGTTTGTGTCTGAAAGCGGCTTGTTGGCATCACATATCCATAGCAACCTGCAAAAGAAGTACTACTAGTCCCATAATGCTTTGCGGCCGGTGTCCGGAAGTAATACGTCTCCATTGAGTCAACGAAAGCGCGACGCGGTAAGTGCTGAAATATAGCAAATGTAGAGCTGTAGCTTTTATAGCGTGTGTTTGCAGTATAATATCTGGTATAATAAAGGTATTTCCTAGTAAATAAACTATTTCCGTTGGTTGGGTTTCTGCAGGCTACTTCAATTTCCCAAAAAGGACATCGCCATGCCGCCTGGGCCTGTACAGATCGTTCAGCCGGAGCCCAACAACAAGGTGAATACACCGCTGCTAGTTGGCTAATGTTAGCATTTAGCTGACGTACTTTTTCTGTAAGGGAAACTAAATACAATTTCCTTCACTGGCAAACGACTATCATACATTTGAATTTCAGGGCAGGTAGAGTCTATTTTGGATAATCCCCACAAGGATTCACTCGGTTTAGCTTGTTGTTAGCTTCCAGGCTCCATTCACAAAAAAGATCCTTCGAAATGTCTGCAAAACTTTGTTATACTTTCAATACAACGGAGGAGCAGCATACTTAAGTTTGTTTAGTAATTATATTGATATTTGTCGTTTAAAAATCTGCTAGTTTACTCTCCAGGAACACTGATGTGTTTTAACGTTACCTAAGATAATTTACCGGTTTCACTGTAAGCAGTTATCATAACTTTTTACAATAAGTCGACAGCGAAATCTATGAATTATCATCGCATACTCAGATATTATTTCCTAGAAAGGTTTAGAAAGAGACTGTGTGCTACAACAAGGTCCATTCTCCTATCTCTATTTTGAGTTTGTAGTGGTAGCATTATTATCATGTAGCTCAAAACACCTCTAAATAAAACTAAACCCATATGCATGGCGTTTTATCAAATTGTATGGGGGTTATTATTGCTATTTGGAAAACACAGACACACATTTAAAATCAGTTGAATCTTGTGTCAGAATTCCTTTATTTGTCCCACAAAGGGGACATTTCCATTGGTAGTTAGTCAGGTTTAATTAATGTAGATGTGATTTGTATTTTTACATTTGTTTTGCATTTGTTGCACTTTTCAGTCTAACATGTACCCTTTGCTAACAGAATGATGCACCAGTAGAAGAAACCCCTGCTACGAAACCCATTGTTGGGATCATTTATCCACCTCCTGAGGTCCGAAACATAGTTGACAAGACAGCCAGCTTTGTGGCCAGGTTGGTAACTCATGTATAATGGAATTGTTTGTACAGCTGCAAATCTTACCTGGATACAAGGTCCTATGATTCACAAATTCTTTGTCATTTCACAGAAATGGACCAGAGTTCGAAGCAAGAATCCGTCAGAATGAGATCAACAATCCAAAGTTTAATTTCCTCAACCCTAACGACCCCTACCATGCCTACTATCGTCACAAGGTCAATGAATTCAAGGAGGGTAAAGGGCAGGAACCGTCTGCAGCCGTGCCTAAAGTTATGCAGCAGGCCATGCTGCAGGCTCAGCTTCCACAAAAAGTAAGACATTTCAGTCTGCTCTTCTTTTTATTTTCTAATGATTGGTAGTATTTTCATCTTGACAATTAATACTTTCCATTTGTCAAAAGGCGGTGATTCAAGAGACAGTTGTCCCCAAAGAACCACCCCCTGAGTATGAGTTCATCGCAGATCCCCCCTCAATCTCAGCGTTTGATCTGGATGTTGTCAAGCTCACTGCCCAGTTTGTTGCTCGCAACGGCCGCCAGTTTCTTACCCAGCTCATGCAGAAAGAACAGAGGAACTACCAGTTTGACTTTCTGCGACCACAGCACAGCCTTTTCAACTACTTCACCAAACTGGTTGAACAGTACACTAAGGTAAACCAACAACTTTCTCCTCTAAGTTGTTCTTAATCTTTGTTTTGGTGGAGATGCTAATCTGTATCTCAATCTTTTCCGGCATCGTGTAGATTCTGATCCCTCCCAAAGGCCTTCTGACCAAGCTGAAGAGAGAGTCTGAGAATCCAAGAGAGGTTATGGATCAGGTAATGCCCTTAAACTGTGGATGTTTTTCAGATGAAGAATTTAATCGAATCTCGCCCATGTTAATCCGTTGTCTTTTTTTACAACCATCAGGTGAGGGTACCGTGTTGAATGGGCAAAGTTCCAGGAGCGCGAGAGAAAGAAGGAGGAGGAGGAAAGAGAGAAAGAGCGGGTGTCATATGCCCAAATTGACTGGCATGACTTTGTAGTGGTTGAGACGGTGGATTTCCAGCCCAACGAACAAGGTAATATAACGACAATTATTATAATCTTTAAACCTGTGAGCCTCATAATGTAGCTAGAATAATTTATCATTAATTGGCATCTTTTTTTTTTTCAGGCCACTTCCCCCCGCCCACCACACCAGAGGAGCTTGGCGCTCGCATCCTGATCCAAGAGCGCTACGAGAAGTATGGAGAGAGCGAGGAGGTGGAGATGGAGGTTGAGAGTGAGGATGAAGATGATGAAAGGGAGAGTCGGGCCCCGGGTCAGCCCTCACAACCTGATCAAGACACACAGCTGCAGGATATGGATGAGGTAAGAACTGATTAAGTTATTTATCACTGCGCCTTGTATACTATTTATCTTTTTATAATTGCAGCTGCTCTCATGGATTTGTCATTCAACTTATTTAAGTACATTTGTGATTTTCATCCAAATCCTTTCAGCCCCTCAAATGTAGACATTTCTTGATTTTTTTTCTCAGTTTTAATATCTTGAAAAATGAATACATTTGGGTTTTGGACTGACAAAGCAAGATATTTAAAGACATCATCTTGGAGGAAAGGAAAAGTTACTTGCAGCCAAGGCTGGTTCTTTGCCCCCTTTTTGTTTTACCAATCACCCTTTATTGACAACCTATGTTTTCTTACCTCTGCTTGAAAAGAGAACATAATAACAATAAGTGCTGGTAACAATGTTTCATTCTCCCATTCCTGCTCTCTCCAGGGATCTGATGATGACGATGATAAAGCTCCACTGCCACCAGATAACCCTATGCCACCTCCTCTGCCCCCAACTCCAGACCAGGTTATCATCAGGAAAGACTACGATCCCAAAGGTAACGGATGCTTCCTTAGATGAGGGAATACTAAGTGCAAGCTATTTTCTCTGTGCAGTGTGTTTATCTCATGCTATATTTTCCTTACAGCTTCCAAGCCTCCGCCCTCCATTGTTACTCCAGATGAGTACCTCATCTCACCAATTACTGGTGAGAAGATCCAAGCCAGTAAAATGCAAGAGCACATGCGCATTGGTCTGCTTGATCCGCGCTGGCTGGAGCAAAGAGACCGCAGCATCAGAGAAAGGCAGACTGAAGACGAAGTCTATGCCCCTGGTTTGGATATCGAGAGCAGCTTGAAACAACTGGCTGAGAGGCGTACAGATATCTTCGGTGTGGAAGAGACGGCCATCGGTAAGAAGATTGGTGAAGAAGAGATCCAGAAGCCCGAAGAGAAGGTGAGTTAAGTTGTGGGTTTATACTACAGTGTAAGGTAAAATAATGCCTGAGTTGAATAAAATTGAATCAAAATGTTTTTGATCTTTTCATGTTACAAGGTTACTTGGGATGGCCACTCTGGAAGCATGGCTCGTACCCAGCAGGCAGCTCAGGCCAACATCACCCTGCAGGAGCAGATTGAAGCCATTCACAAGGCCAAAGGGCTGGTGGGAGAGGACGACTCTAAGGAGAAAATTGGCCCAAGCAAGCCCAGTGATCATCATCATCATCATCAGCCTCCAATGCCCCCAATGAATATGCCGAGACCCCCAATGTCAATGGCTCGCCCACTCCACTCGGTGAGTAACTTAAAAAAACAGTTAATTGTTCATGAAAATAAATGATTAAACTAAAAATAACCCACTAATTTGTTGTTTCCAAACAGATGCCAGTGCGCACCACTCTCCTGTCTGCTGTTCCTGTAATGCAGAGACCTATGGCTCCTGTGGTCCGCCTTGCATCTGGACAAGTCATCTCCTCAATGCCTCCCATGATTCCTGCTCCCCGCCTCAATGTGGTCCCAATGCCTCCATCTCACATGATGGTCCCGAGACCACCCCACATGGTGGTTCCAACCGGTAAGATGAAGACACGTAAATAAATAACTAACAACCTAAATAAATATACCTTGTTGAGGTAATTAGATTAACCTTTCTCACATAGGACACTGGATTTTATCAATTGAATACAAATACACTTTTTCTTCCAGCATTCGTCCCGGCCCCTCCAGTACCACAACCCCCGAGCTCTGGTCCTGCACAGTCCCACCCACTCCCACCTCATGATGATGAACCAGCCAACAAGAAGATGAAGACAGAGGACAACCTTATGCCAGAGGAGGAGTTCCTTCGTAGAAATAAGGTTTGTGAGAGCACTGAAATGTTGTTGATCTATTTTTATTCATCGATCTGCAGGAAGACACAGTTTGAAATACAGGATTCAAACTGTTATTAGATTTAAATGTATTGGCAGGTCTTCAAATATACGAGCCAACAATCCGATCAAAGTTCTGAGTTGTTCTTTGTTTTCTTTCTGGGTAATGTTTGGGAATACAAAGTCTAGTTTTCCCATGTATATTTTCAATTGTGATGACTGAGAAAGGCACAGTATTTCATTTCATAACTTGATTTATTTTGTATTCCTCTCTAGGGTCCTGTTGCAGTTAAAGTACAGGTCCCCAACATGCAGGACAAGACCGAATGGAAGCTAAATGGCCAAGTGCTGAATTTCACTGTCCCACTCACAGATCAGGTATGCAAATCTTGCCTTATTCAGGGATGCAAACTTGTCACCTTTCGGCGAAATTCGCCGTTTTGAATCCAAAATAGGTCGTTTGTGTGATTCATGTAGATCTGCAATAAAAATATTTTTGGGGTATGGGGGGGGTCTGGGACCCGGAGTTATCGGCGTCCGCGAGCTGTTATGTGCCATCATGACACGCATGGTGTATATATTATAATGCAGCGCGAGCTGTGCGCTCGAGTCTTCCTGCCTGTCGGCTCTGCTCATGGATGTATAATAAGGCTCTGCTGCTCCACGATGATGGTCTAGCTTCATTAGCTACATTATCTACGGGTGCGTTCGTTAATATTAACTGTGCGGTCCGGAGTCACTGTGGCACAGACTGGACCGCTGGTGAACAGCTGTTAGAACGGGCCGTTCAGGTGTTCAGAGCAGTGCACCCTGTCGGAGCGGCAGAGCGTGATGTGCACTGAAAAGTTTTTCTGTCGCAATATTATCGTTGTCGAGCTAGCTAACTAGCATACATTGTCACTATCTGCTAACGTTAGCTTTAGCCTTCGTTTTCTAATAGTTTTTTTCATAGGCTATAAACGGAGGTGGTATAAGTATAGATCTTGTACTTGAGTAAAAGTAGAAGTACTCAGATCTTGTACTTGAGTAAAAGTAGAAGCACTCAGATCTTGTACTTGATTAAAAGTAGAAGTACTCAGATATTGTACTTGAGTAAAAGTAGAAGTACTCAGATCTTGTACTTAAGTAAAAGTAGAAGTACTCGGGTCTTGTACTTGAGTAAAAGTAGAAGTACCAGAGTATAGGAATACTCTGTTACAGTAAAAGTCCTGCATTCAAAATGTTCCTCAAGTAAAAGTAGAAAAGTATTCTCATCAAAATATAGTTAAAGTAGCGACAGTAAAAGTAGTCATTGTGCAGATTGGTCCATTTCAGAATAATATATATGATATGTTTTATAATGATTGATCATTAAAGTGTTCTCAAAGCTGATAAAGGTGCAGCTAGTTTGAATGACTTTGTATACTGCAGGGTAGCTTGTGAATTTACTCCAAGTGGAACTAAAGTCTGATTTAACACTTGATTAGATTTCACATCATTCATCCACATCTGTAAAGTAACTAAAGGTATTAAATACATGTAGTGGAGTAAAAGTACACCATTTACCTCTGAACTGTAGTGGAGAAGAAGAACAAAGTAGCAAAACATTGAAATACTTAAATAAAGTACAAGTATCTCAAAATTGTACCCAAGTATAGTACTTGAGTTTATGAAATTACTGAAGTTACTTTACACCAGTGGCTATAAAGATAGAAAGACTAAGCCTTGCACAGAGGCATGAAAATACATTTTCAAAATGCTCAACAGTGCTGCCAAAATTATAAACTGACTGCTACACAATTCAAATAAATGCTTTTATATATTTCTATTAGATGTGACTCTTTGGCGTTTCTGTTATTATTAACTGCTTTAGTTGTTCTGACTGCTAAAATCCTCTGTTATTCCTCATTTTAAAGCCGATATTCCGTGGGGTCGGGGGGCTCGGATCCTTGTCACCTTTTTCATACCTGATGAGTTTGCATCCCTGCTTATTGTTATTCTCTTTTTTTAATTGAGTGTAAAGCATTGCACTGTACTGCATTTTTATGCATCTCAAATGTCTCCGCAGGTGTCTGTTATTAAAGTCAAAATCCACGAAGCTACAGGCATGGCAGCAGGGAAACAGAAGTTACAGTATGAGGTAAGCTTAACCGTAAACCTTCATTTTTACCTTTTTAGCCAGCTGATAATATTCTTTGTACTAATATTTGGTATTGTTTTGTTCCTTTTTCAGGGCATGTTCATTAAGGATTCCAATTCCCTGGCTTATTACAACATGAACAACGGTTCAGTGATTCACTTGGCACTGAAGGAGAGAGGTGGAAGAAAGAAGTGAGCCATGCTGCAAGAAGGAAACCATTTTTCTTCTGGATGTTTTGTCCCTTGATCGTGCAATGTCATTTTAGTTTATTAAAAATGTTCACAATTATAAAGTGCTTTTCTTACAGTTTTGTGTGAAAAGTATGATGTTTTTGTTATTTTATGTCATCTTGGAATGCTAACTGAATTATGCTGTACACTGGCTGGCAGGCCTTGCTTCATACTATTGGTTCAATTCTTGATTTCTTTCCTGATATATGCTATTTAGTAACTTCAAATTGTAACATGTTGGAGCCCCATAATACAAAATAAATGAATTTAAAAAACAAAAGGTGTTATCGCTTCATGATTATGTGTAATGTTAACAACTGGCACATATGGAATTAATCAAGGCCTCATGCTCTGTACAAGAATGATCAGTTGGTCTTTATTTAGGTGATTGGAAATTAGCTGCCCACTGCTCCTAATTCTTCATCAGATCCCTGGAGAGAGCAGGAGGGCAAAGAAGGATACTTTGATACAAACTCTTTGTTATTTTATTCCCTTTTCAAGCTAAAGAAAGCCTCAGTTGTCAATTAAGGTTGATGGTAAAAAAAAAGGGGCAAGGAAGGCAAATCAGGTTGTTATGCGTGTGTTATTAAGAAAAAAATTGAAACAGTGGAATTTCAGAATTTCACCTTAGGTCAGGGTTGCCAACTCTCACGCATCTGGCGTGTGACACACGCTTTCACTCTCAATCTCACGCTCTCACGCTGCCCAAACTATTCTCACGCCAAAAACAAGAATACGAAGACTAGAAACGGTTTTGAAAACTTTTGTCACGTAGTGATCGTCTTCTCATTAGAACATCTTTGATAATGTCTTCTGGCCAATCAGAATCACGATAACGGCGTGGTGTTGTTGCAGGAAGTCCCGACGGAGAATACTTTTGCGGTAGTACATCTCATATCATCGATACAACATTACGTGTTGATAGAAATCAACACGTAATGAAATAAGACCCCACGGTTTGATCATTGATAGGTGTGTGGGCTGTCTTTCATTTTGACACACAGAACAATGGGGGCTATCCACCCTTATCCACAATGTAAAGTAATTCACACAGCCTCTTCCCTCTTCTCTCTGTGAGGAGCAGCAGGTTCAGCTTTCAGAACAAAGTAACACAAAACTAAAATGGCATTCATTTTTTTAAATATGTAGTAATAGATTTATTTATTTTTCTTCTCAAGAGAGTACCAGAATGTGTATTTGATGTTAGTATTTAAAAAAATCTCCTGGGGGAGAATCCCCCCAGACCCCCCCTGCAGGGGTTGGGTTTTCAGCATGTCTACTCTTTCACCTGTGGGGAAATTGCAGGATTGGCTCCAGGTCGCCCTTTTTATTTACTACAAGACAAATGTGCCTTTTTATTTCATACAGTTCAATTTGGATTGAGAGAGACAGGGAAATAATCTAAACCTCACGCGTGGCGTTTCACTGTCGGGGGGAGCGTGTATGTAATTACATTGCAAATACTGACTTGAGCCCCACCACTGTATGGGTTAGCCCTACCATAGATTACCCAACAAAAATACTCTGGAGCCGCAACTGCAACTGCAGATCTAAGATCCAGTAGAAATGATAAAAAAGTAAAAGTCTGCTGCTTATTGTTCTACTAGGCCAAAATAGAGTCAAAGAGTATATGAGAGTGAGAGTGTGTTAATTAATATATTTGGCAGTTTGGAGTAAGTCTGTAGATTTGTTTGTGTGTGTGTGTTTCATGTATAGGCCTCTCACGATAATTAATTTTGTTGGATACATTTTCCCGGAAATTATTGCGATAAACGATAATATTGTCGGCACCGTTGTATGACCATTTTAGACCACTGACATAATGATAATATATAATAATAATTCAAGTACATCCTTTCAAACTGCTAGTCACATCCTCATGTAAATGGCAATTTATCGAGGTCAGAAAAGTTATCGAGTTCATTTTTATTTATCGTACGATAAGTCAATTAATTGCTTATCGCGACAGGCACACAATAAAATAGTGGAAACAAACATGTTTGACTTTCATTAGTGAATGAAACTGTGTGCCCTTTATAGTCTGTGTCCATTATTGTGTATTTGTATATATTGTATATATATCCTATATATATGCTAAGGTCTCGCTGCTGACACGATAGCAGTCATTTCGTGCGCATATGTGTAATTAAACCGAATTAAACCCATGATATCAAAATCTCACTCCAGCCAGGTACCCAAAGTTGGCAACCCTGCCTTAGGTATCCATAACGGTTCATCTTAATCTTAGACACAATCTGTACAATTGGTTACTAGACAATGTCTGTGGCGTGTAAATGGGTTTGTATATAAGGGCTTTTAAATGGGTATATGTGCTGCAATCGTGAGTCAATTGTGCTTATGTGTTAGGTTACAATTATGCTCATGTGCTTTTGCATATGTGCCGTTTGCTTTTAATGCCATCAATCTGCCAAGGACTGCATATAAAAAGGAGCCTCTAAATCTGGTACATTTACATAATGGACCCAAGTGCTCATGTTTAATGTGCATCGTCAGTCCCTTTTTAAATAAATACAATTTAAAAAAAAATAATAAGATTTTCCCAAGGCAACCACTAGAGGTAACCGTGGCATCAAGAAGGTAACAGTAACCCAGGACAGGACAAGGTTGAGGCAAAAATCTGGCCAACACACTCGGAAGGACAGGAGAGCTAAACCATACACCTTTGGGTCAGAAACATGATTAACTCGTCTGTTTACCAGCTCACAAAGTTGGCGAATGACTAACTATGAAACACAAGCTGACGACACAGCGTTAGTTTGTTTTAAGGTAGCGTAGGAATAGTTTTGGATTGTGTTGGCACCGAGCCCAGGAAGTGTGCCGGACATTGAAGCACAATTTGTTAGTGTCCAAATGGTAGTACTACAACTTCCGTGTCCATACGTGACGTCTACCTAGCACGACCACTTTCATATAACTTATTTAAATCATTAGGGTATAAAAGTTGTAAAATGCGCTAAAAGCTTATTTTCCTCGACATTCATTTGACTGAACCGAGAGCGGGAGATCGGAGGCGGGGCTTAAGGGAAACTCAAGTGCGCGTGCTCTATGGGCCAACATACGGGTACTTGTGCTCTTGAGAGGCAGGGCATTTTGGCTTCATGCGCCACTGATCAACTCTCATAGGAATGAACGGGTCCCGCCTGCAACGCTGTATCCAGTTCTCTTTATACATCCATGGTTGGCACTTGGCACTAGCAGTTACGGCTAACTTTAGGTTAGCAACATCAGCTAGCTTATTTTAAATCTGAATACGCATTCACGTTTACATAGTTAGCTATTACCTGTGTTATGTTTCCTGGCAGTTAAAGTTAGATAACATTTACAGAGAGTTGGGAAGTTTAACTCCCTTCAAAAAAAATAATCATGGCGTCGCTGCGGTTCAGTTCATATGCAGAGGAGCAGTTCTGACTTTGGGCTGTCAACAAGCGAGCTGACCCTAGCTAACCAGCTAGCTGTCCTGCTAACATGGCCCACATAGAAAACGGCCGGCAATCCTTCGACACAATGAGTATCCGGACTATTAGCAGCAGTCGTATGGACGATGAAAGCTCTCTGGGATCGGATTCAGAGATCAATGGATTCACCAGCGACAGACAGACCGACAAATATGGATTCATTGGTGGGGCACAGCAGACGGACGGCTCGTAAGTTTGTCTCTACAGTGATTCATTGCCACTGACTGTCTGTGTTGTCTTAACAGTGTAATTCAGCTAACTAAAATAATATGGTCAGTAGTTGTTTCTGATCCTTTTGAGCCAAAATGTAGTATAACGTGTTTCAGTTAATGTAGTTATGGTTTCATACCACAAGTTGTGTTGTTGTCTTGGTCTCTATTTACAAAGCTCTCCACCAGATGCGTGGCACAATGTGTTTGTTAGGTTTGCCTCACCCAATATTCCAAATATAAAAGCCAGAATATTGGTTGATAACATGCTCTAAAGTACTCAGATCTTGTAATACTCTGGTGCAAGTAAAAGTCCTGCAATCAATTGTTCATACTCAAGTAAAAGTACACAAGTATTGGTATCAAAATATAGTAGTAGTACCAAAGTACTCGTTATGCTGGCCCATTTCAGAATAATATAGATATTATTTATTTTCATTATGATTATTGATGTATTAAAGTGTTATCAAAGCTGGTAAAGGAAGTTCCTTAAAAATTGTACCTAAGTATGGTACTTGAACACTGAACATGCAGCATGATTGTTCTTCATTAAGTCATGTAAACTATTTCCCCATAGGTATATTGGGGTTTTTGTGTGTGGGGGAACAGGAAATCCATACTGTCTTGTTTGTTGTTAACATCTGAATACATGTACTCATAGCTTTTGTGTTGTTTTCTAAGAAGGCCTTTCTTTCTTCCCTTTTTACTGGGGGCCTTGAGCCCTCATTATAACACTGAAATAGTGGAAGGAGTGAGTGAAAGTTGTGCCAAGCACTGGCTGGCTGGGAGCTTCCTGTTTCTGGAGTTTTGGCAGACTTGGAGCCAAAGCTCTGGTGCCCTGTTACTAGAGGGCCTCTTTTGGCTCAAATCTTTATAGGTGGTCACAAACCAATGGTTTTACTTACACTGTTTGGCAGTGATTGAAAGAATATCATCAGTGCTGAAAGCTTTTAAGAAGCTGAAGCTGGAATATAACACATTGTTTAAATGATTTCCAACATATAGCCTGCACTTTTTTTTAACTAAAGAGGGCTGTCCCAAGTTTTAAAAAGAGGTCTTTGAAGACGTTTGAACCCTATGATTACAGGCTTGTGTTGATGAGAAAATGACATACCTTAGTCAAGCATCAGACCTCATTCATAATGTAGGTTGGACTACAATTTCTTTTTCTGCTTGGGAGTATGATATCCACTCCCTATTTTTTCTTTCCCTTTTAAAAGAAGTCGAATTACATCATAATACAGTCAAATCCTCCCTGCAGCTCATTGAGGTTAAACCATAGACTGTATATATAAAGGGTTAAACAGACTTTGCTATTAAATCTGCTACATCTGAGTTTATGTCTTTTATAGTCTCCCCAAAACCAGGTTGGTGGTAGTTGTTATTTTGGTCTCATTGCACAGTTTACTGTCAGCATAGGAGCGAATGGCCACCCACGCAGATCTGTTGGCACACACAGAAAGATGAGCAGCCCTTCTGAGGATGTTTTCTTATTGTTGTCACACCCTCCTAACATACTGCCACAAAAACATACTTTATATTGGTATCCAATGAATAGCTTTTTTTCAGACTTACTTATTTAAAAATATACACCCTATTTAAGATGTTCATTCAAATTAGTTTCAATGTTGATTTAACTAAGTTTATCTTTCTCCATTGTGTCCACAGAGCGCAGGATTTGCCTCCACAGGTGCTCCGGCAAAGGGAGGTGAAGTGGCTTGACATGCTCAGCCACTGGGACAAGTGGATGATCAAGAGATTCAATAAGGTCAGCCGCCATTACTAACTCAATAACACTAAAGTGGCTTGTTTGTATGTTTTGAACGATGCTAGCCAGGTATATTGGCCTGATCTGAAAGTGTTATTTGTTTCTAAATGTTTTGTTTTCCACCATGGTCTCCAGGCAGCACTTATTCAGTCCTGAGTAGTTTGTATACATGATCAGACATGGCAAACAACATTGCTCAAGGATTTGATTGCACCAAGACTTTATTATTTGCAGCTTCACTTGTCTGGCTAGTTCTGTGTAACGACGCTCTCAGCAATTCAGCACAGAGCTGCAACTTCACCTCTTTTCCATGAGTCAGCAATAGGGCAGGACACAACCAATCCCTATATTGCCTCGTGCACCATGTGACAAATTGACACTCTGAGACTCAGGGCGGGGCTGTTGTGACTTCCCTTGAGGCACAGAACCATGTAATAAAGGTGTTGTGAATTTAAAGTATAGCTGTACTTAAATGCAAGACAGATTGTCAGAATCAAATGCAACCATGAGAAGAATAAACAGTTTGTTGGAGCAGCAAGACCCTGTCAAATACCTGGGATTCTTTACTCTGCTCCTTTGGTTCACAATAATATAACAGCAGACTCTCCTTGGAGAAGCATGCCAGTTTCAGAACAGAAAAACAAACGCTCAAAATAACCCAGAAACTCTAATGCAACAAACCAATATCACTATCAGTACAGTATGTTTTAATAGTCGCTTGTGACTCTGTAAGCAAGATTATTGCATGAGGTATTCCAAGGTGATATGTACGTGTTTACCACTGTGTACACAGTTACTACACACAGTTTGGCTCCTCTAGGCCAGTGTCTATTCAGATTCAATGCCAAGCAAAGAACCGAGGAAGTATTTTCGTAGACTCAAAGTAATGTGAATCAATGAGTCAGTGTCAGGGTATCTTTGACCAAAACTGTAGACAAAAGCCAGATAGGAGTCAGATGCTGAAGGATATGTTTCTTGTAATGTATTTTGAACTGACAGTAGTGAAAGTTTCAAAGACAAAGATTCCTCCGTTACAACTGTGAAGTCACGTAGACACACCCTGCTTGTCTTATTATATACAATTCTCTCTTTGTTGCTCATGCAGCTGATCTGGAACCTGTAGGAGGTTTGTTCCAGCAACTCCGGTTGCATATAGCATGCACACATCTACATGCCATGTTTTTTATGTTCACTAGAAAATGACCCCTGCATCGAAGCATTGCACTCCTAACTATTATAGAGATAAAATAAAGTCTTGCACTGCTTTTACCGGTAGGCCCTGCCATTTTAAACGTATGTTGTATAACTGGTGAGAGATGTAGCGGGTCTTTGATCAAATACTGGCCACATACATGTCACATACATTTCAAGTTAGCCTGGGTCAACATTTTTAAGAGACGTTTTTCACAGCTGAGAGTGAGCTATTACTCAGAGGTTTGAACAGATAGCTGTGTTGCACATGTGTTCAAGAGAAGGAACCAATACCAAGTGAGGGTTACTGAGCTGTTACCACTGACTGGTATTAGTGTACCAGCCTGTTTTGACTTGAGGAAAGCCATTGTGTGACTAGCTTTGCCCTGCTTAATTTAGTGATCTTCCTCTCTTCCTCAGGTAAGACTGCGGTGCCAGAAAGGAATTCCTCCTGCCCTCAGAGGTCGTGCATGGCTCTACCTGTCGGGGGGGAAGGTGAAGAAGGAGCAGAACCACGGAAAGTTTCAGGTCAGAGAGATCTCTCTTTCACTTCCTCCTTGCAGCTTCTTTTATGTTGTATTTTGCATTTCATGTTTTTATATTTCATGAGAAATGTTAGTGAAACTGGCAATGCCACTAGTTACTTCTCTTCCAGGAGCCATTTCAGATTATTTCAATAAACCCAAAATATAAAATAGAGTGATTTTAAACCGCTAATTACACAAAAAGTCTTTGTTGTGGGAATGTTATGGCCATTTATGTTTTTAATCATTTTCTTTACATATTATAATTTTTACATTCATAAGACTCATAAATATCTTACATTATCAGTAATATACAAGTCAACTTTTCCAGGCAAGCATACCCAAAAAAAGAGGGAGACAAAAATACAGTTTTAAATACAGCACTTAAAACACTTTACAAATGCATCCATATAACGACAGCATACAGTTCTGTCCACGATCATACCTAGCCTTTCATTTGCTCACAGCCTCTTAATTCAGTGAGCCCATAAATAACAGAAATAAATTATCCGAGACAGGCTTTATCTTCCCCTTTTGTGTTGTTCATTCCAGCTGTCAAGTATTCAAAGAAATCAGTTTAGGTGTTGAGTGAATTGTAGAGCGTATACACTTCCTGGATTGTTTATGTGTAAACGCACTCTGCCCTGAATGTTGTTAGTGTTTAGTTAAGAGATCTCACAGCCGCCTTCTTGTGTTTGGTTTTCAGGAGTTGGATAGCCAGCCTGGAGACCCTAAATGGGTAGATGTGATTGAGAAAGACCTCCATCGACAGTTTCCTTTCCATGAGATGTTTGTGTCTCGGGGAGGACACGGGTACGCTCTCAGACATTACACACTGGGATTCATGACAACGTTCTTTTTTTGACAATAAATATGACTTTTTAACTGTTGTGTGTAATGTTTTTGACGCTCCGCAGGCAGCAGGACCTGTTCCGTGTTCTTAAGGCCTACACTCTGTACCGACCAGAGGAGGGATACTGCCAGGCTCAGGCTCCCATCGCTGCTGTTCTGCTTATGCACATGCCTGCCGAGGTACGTGCCTCAGCCACAAAGCCCATATAAACTGCCGTGTGCGGTGTGAGTGTAACAACGCCATATGTTGGTAGGCTTTGTAGAACTGTTTTCTGTACCAGTTCTAAAAGGCTTGTTAATATTTTGGCTCTTTAAAAGTGAGATCCACTCATAAAATATAAATCACACAAGCTCTTTCTCACACATTTCAAAGCTCTGTTTTAATACCTGACGTTGGACAAGTGTATTTTTAATCCAAACAGCCTAGAGACAGACTCCACAGATGATGTCATCGGGAGATTAATCCTGGAGCGGCTCCAGAGGCTGAATAATAGTTGAAGCATTACAGACTGCAACCATGGTGACGCTTTTAGGGTGTAGATGTTTGTTTCCAAATTCACAGCGGTAAAACTTGAACTCAATCGGAATGATAAAAACTCATTCCGTTAGTTATTCCCGGCTAAATTCATTTGGTTTGCAAACGTCCTATCATTTGTGTCAATCATTACTTGGATATGTGACTTTTTGAAGTAACAACAGAAAACCAACAGAGCTCTAAAGAGGCAAGTTATTAAATAAATTAAAAAAATGCAAAACTATTTAATATATCAAGGGGAATATTCCCTTACATTCCGTTAATTATTCAAACAAACGGCATTGTTAAAGACAATCAGCAGTAAGAGTATTTAGATGTGTCTACCAGGGTTTCCGCTAGGATTTTTTTCTCGCCAGTCAAATGTCCGGACAGAATTTATTTTACCGGACAAATTTGAAACTTACCGGTCATGTTTCAATAATAATAATAAGAATTGTGCAGCAGAGTTTCCGTTGGCTGGTAATTACCGGACTATGACCGGATATGCTGATGTTTAAAACTCAGTTAATGGGCCTCATTTTTATATTGCTTCAGTTTATAATCGTAACAGATCGAAAAATTCAGATTCATTTTCCAATAAATGATGCGCTTCCACAAACAACCAACAACATCATTATTACATTCAAACAAACTACTTGTAGTAGATAAAGTACATTATTCAAAAGTTTACATTAACTTTGAATAATAACACGGGAGAAACGGATCCTCTCTTTTCCCCTCTCCCTCCCTCTCTCTCCTGACAGCCCGTCAGTTTCTCATGCCGCACGCTAAACAGTGGGCGGGGCTTCAGGTGATTATGCAGCAGCTGATCTGATCTCTCTCTCACGTCCGGTTATGCTTCACTCGCGTTTATGTCCATATCGATCAGATCCAGCTCTCCTGATCGGCCTTTATAGAGAGCACCGATCAAACTATTAAGAGTGAATATCGGCCGATAATGATCGGAGGCCAATCGATCGGAGCATCCCTAATTATTACCGGACATTTTGACCGGCAGGTTTTGAATTTACCGGTTTTTAATACATTTTACCAGCTAAAAAACGGTAATTACCGGCTAACGGAAACCCTGGTGTCTACGTTTCTTTGTGTCCTAACATGACCCACCTTAGTGGAAGTGTTTGTAGTGGTGATTTAGTTAATTAAAGTGACTTAACTCAAAGTGTTAACATCACCTCTTTCTCACCCATAGAAAGCTTTTATCATCAAGGTCAGAATTTCAAGGATTAACCTGCCTCTCCTGTGAACACGTGGAAATATCCTGTAAAATGATCCGGTCCACAGTGTTTTTCTGACATCATGTGTTTGTGTTTCCACAGGATGCCTTCTGGGGACTGGTCCAAATTTGTGAGAAGTACCTTCCTGGCTACTACAGTCCAGGCCTGGTGAGACTGAGACATATACAAGCATGCATGATCACATCAGCAAGCGTTGGAAATAAACGTATAGAGAGAGAGAGAGAGAGAACATTACTTGATCTGATTTTGCTGCACACAGCTACAATCCATATGAACTAACCAGGCTTTGGCTGCAATTACAGTCAAACTGGAATGCATTGTTGTTGCTGCTGCGGAGCTCTCAGTGTGAGTGTAATAAGTCACTGATGAAACCAATGGGGCGTTGTTGGGGCATAATTCATCATTGCATTACATACTTGTTTAATCTTGAGTTATTCATATTGCCTTGTGGTTACTGTTCATTGTTTTCAGATTAGATAATCAATTGTTAATGAAAACATGACTTACTAATGAAATGTTTCCCTGGAAAAACGGAAACATGATGCATTTAGGCTAGTTTATTTGTAATGGATGAACATGCATATCAGGTTTCAGTCATGTCAATACAGAGGACAATGGCCTTTGTTTCCCCCTAATGCCTTCTTACCTGTGTCTCTTTCAGGAAGCGATACAGTTGGATGGAGAGATCTTGTTCGCTCTGCTGCGACGTGTCTCCCCGCTAGCTTACCGCCATCTGGAGAAACACAAGATCGACCCCATCCTCTACATGACTGAGTGGTTCATGTGTGCCTTCTCCAGGACGCTGCCCTGGGCCTCGGTGCTGCGTGTCTGGGACATGTTCCTCTGTGACGGTAACCCTGGCTTATAGCACTGCGGTGCCAGATGTTGTTACAACTTTTTCACACTGCTGCTCAACCACCTGGCTCTTCTCCCTCTCACAGGAGTGAAGATAATCTTTCGTGTGGGTTTGGTGCTGCTGAAGTGCATGCTGGGAACCCGGGAGAAGCTGAAAGCCTACCAGGGACAGTATGAGACCATGGAGCTCCTCAGGGCCATAGAGCCTCGATACATGCAGGAAGGCTTCCTGGTCCGAGAGGTAACAGCAGCAGAGCAGCAACATGGTGTAGTGAACACCTGAAAATCCCTACAGCAATCAAAAAAGGGTTACTATGTTATCTTATGGCGCATTTCCACTACAGCGCGGTTTAAGCGTGCCGTGCCGTGCCCGGACAGTTTTTGGTTGCGTGTCCACTAGGCGTAGTTCCGGCTAGCGGGTTACAGTTTTCTGGCTCTCCAAAATCGAGATTCTTTCCGGGTCAACAACCGGGCTGAGTATGCTAAACTAGTGAGAGAATTGCTGGCAACTACAACAAAATGAACATATTTGACCGTGATTTAATTGTAATACACGTTTAAAAATGATGCCGAAGTAACAACATACTGATACCGGTTGGTAAAAACCATGAATTAATGCTTTGACAAGTCTGCAGACAGACGGCAGGCGAAAAACCTTTTAAAATGCGTGTTTTCTAAATGGAGATTGGCTAAGCTAACGCAGTATATGCTCCGACCGTCCACACTCACAACAACGGCCTATACAGACATAAATAAAGCAGCGACTGTATTCGCCATGACACAGGCAGTCTGTGGTTTGTACTTGTTTAACTTTTGTCTAGTTTCTGAACAGATATTAGGAGCTGTGAGCTCTGAGTGCTAACAGCTAACGGCTGATGTTGTTTTTCTGTGGTTCTCATTGAAGATGACGTCACGGCTCCGCCTACACTGCGTTACTATAGTTACTACCCCAGTTACTAAACTGTAATGGAAACGCATCATAAAGTGAGCCTGGACTACCAAGGCCTAACTATACCGTACTAAGCCGTGCGAGGCCCTGCAGTGGAAATGCGCCATTAGTGACAAGTAGGCCTGGGTATGGGTACTACCTAAATAACCCAGTAGAGAGTTATTAGGACACAGAAGATAGATAGATAGATAGATAGATAGAAGTACTTTATTGATCCCAATTTGGGAAATGTTTGCGTTGCAGCAGCATAAAAAAAACAAGGCAATTTACATAAGAGAAATTAAGACACTAGAAATAAACAGTCCAAAATATTTCTGAAATAGAAATAAAAAAGCATTTAAAAAATAAATAAATAAAAAGGAGTTTGACTTAATTAACCGCTCAGGCCACCTTTACTCTACTTCATCTGTGCATAGCAAATGGTTCTTTGCTTCTATATTAATGCTCTGAATGCAGAAATAAAAGGTCTTTGTTTCTGACCAGAAGTCCTCTGGCATAGTCCTTTAAAGATGTTGTGTAGTGTAGTGTAGTGTAGTGTAGTGTTGTGTTGTGTTGTGTCGCTCATGAACAGTGGGTGCTTAGAAATGCAGCTGAGAAAAAGGCAGAGAGTCTCAGTGTGAATTAAAGTGATACAGAGACAAATTGACCAGAGCGCTGGCTGGTCAGTGTCTGCTTCCTGTGCCTGGCTTTGTGTGAGTCTCTGTCCAGGCTAACAATACCGCCTCTTATATGAAGGGTTGTCTTGACTGTGTATCCCCATGAAGCCCTGAGGCCCTTTGGCATTTAATGATGAGTTCACATTTTTAACACAATGGCCAAATGTGGAAGGAAGACACTGTATTTTCCAGCGAATGCTAGTCTCCCACACTATTCCTTTGAAAATGAACTATATGTTGACTCCAGCTGTGACCTAATGCCATGTCTCTTCCTGTTGCAGATTCTGGAGGTGCCAGTGACAGCGCGGGACGTGGAAAGGGAGAATTACACCCAGCTGAAGCGCTGGAAGAAGAACCGCGGAGAGCTGAATTTTAAATCCCCCCCCAGGTTGCACGGTGCCCGGATCATCATGTTGGCCGAGCCTCCGAGGCGCCAGGACCTGCAGCAGAACCCCACCATCGTACTGGATGTGCCTGAGCCCGCCCCGCAGCTGAAGAAGGGAAAGGAGGAAAAGAAAAGCATGAAGAAGAGGAGAAGCATAAAGAAGTCCCAGGCCATCCTGAATATCCCGAATCCTTACTCTCTTCCCAGTGACCCTCCTCCTCCACCACCCTCAGATCCACCCGCTCCACCTCCAGTCATCATCGAGACGCCAGAGGCTGTGCCGGAGGCTGTGCCGGAGACTGTGCCACAGACTGTGCCGGAGACTGTGCCGGAGACCGTTCCGGAGACCGTTCCGGAGACTGTGCCAGAAACTGTGTCAGAAACTGTGCCTGAAACTGTGCCTGAAACTGTGCCTGAAACTGTGCCTGAAACTGTGCCAGAAACTGTGCCAGAGACGGTGCCAGAGACTGAAACTGACCCCCTTCAGCATCAGGAAACTCCACTTCAGCGATCCACACAAAGCCTTAGCAGCACAGATCAGGACACATACCTGTAGACCCACAGAAGTGTGTGTGTGTTTGTGTGTGTGTGTGGAAGCACCAGCACGCTTCAGCCAACAACCAGCCAGCCTTGCCAAGGTTTATTATTCTAATGTTGGACTGTTAGTTATCATTTATTCATTTTAGACACCATTTTGCCTATGATATTATTGGTATACACTAAAGCGGCATTGCTACGTGTAAAACTACTTTATTGCTTACGCTGTTTCTACACATGAAGCTGATGTTACCTGTAGGGCTGCAACTAACAATTTTTTTTTTTTTAATCAATTAATGTGCAGATTATTTCAAGATTAAAGGATTCATCGTTTGGAGTAAAAAATGTCAGAAATGTTGTAGTTTCTCAAAATCCAGAAGAAATTACTTTTTTTTCGGTCCAAAACCCAAAGACATCCAGTTTAAGTTTGAGAGGCTGCAAAACTACATTTTCTGACATTTTTACATCAAAAACATCTAGATGATTAATCGATTTGCAATTAAATGGGAAATGATTTTTCTGTCGATCAGCTAATCGACTAGTCTAATAAGCGTTGCAGCTCTAGTCCCTTCCTGTTCCCCGATTCATGATGCTCTTACTCAGTACATAAGTCTTAGTTTTCTGTTTGTAAGGGAGACATGTTACAGTTTTTGGGAGCAAAATCATTTCTTCAGAGATAAATGAAACTTAAAGAACTATGTGCCACAGCGTATACGGTTTTTCGTACATTTCCATTCAAATTCAACACTAGAGTTCATGTGAGTGTAAGAACTACGTGCTTTTCATCTTCTTAAGCTTTTTCATCTCATACTCGTCCACTAGAGGGCAGCCTTGCAGAGGTTACAGCTGTTACATTTCCTCTCAGTAAAGTACATCACAGCAGGAGGATGGGATTTATTTTTGGGAGGTATTATTCTAAGATTGAGCTTCATTCTGTTCTTTTTCAGTTTAGCATGTGCTTGTGCATTTCCTGTTTTTGGAATCCTAAATTTGGATTGAAATTCATCTTCCTGAATCTATGGGTCACACCACACTGTGCAAAGTATTTTCTTACAAGCGCTATTTATTTTACAATCTAAACGTGTAGTGTGTTGTTTGTGCATGCCTTGCTATTGTCACTTTTTTAAGAGTTAGTTGGATTGATGTGGCTTAACTCCTAATATTCCCTGTGCCAGGCACTTCCAGCCACTTTAAGGGAGCAGCAATTACTTTACTTTGGCAGCAGAGAGATCACAGGACATTCCTCGCTGTATGACACATTCCTTCTGCCTTGTTAAAAGCTTATCAGTCCGAAAGCTGTCTCTTGCCAAACGCAAATGTCCATAATGTATGATTTTGTGCATGTGTTTCCTGTGACATCTTGGGACAGTGAGTGAGTGAAAATCACCTAATGGTGCTGACCCTTTCTCTTGGTCTGCTCAGAAAACCGATTGGAGCAGATTTAGCTAATCTTGTAGTGTGTTTGATCTTTTTTTTAATATTATTGCTAGAATTTCCAAAGCAGATCAAGACTGTTGTTTTGAAATGCCTCACGACCGCTACCTGTGACCAGGCATATTCTGTTACATTCAAAATAAGTGATTTCTAAATTTCTTTGGGATATTTGTAGCATCTCATTTTGGAGAACTGGGCCTATTTCTTTGGGAAATATATTGTTACATGCAGTGGTTGTTTTTCAAAACATATTGGACAATCTTTTTTGTGAGGGTCTAACTTTCGTCACAAGGGTAAAGGGAGTTTTGACAAGCATGAGCACACGTGTATGATGTGTTTGCATCTATGATTAATATAAAAAAGTGTCTGCCTAAAAAAAGAGCATGTGTTGGGTCAGTTCTAAAAAGCAATGATGTTTTAATTGATAACACTTTTTCAAACCGCTCTGTATGCAATGTTTTTTTTGTAGTTATATTACACAACTCACATTTCGCTGATGTTTATTTTTAATTTAATCCTGTTGTGTAGATAAGACATGTAAAATAACAATTGTTTTGTAAGGAAATCTATTTTTCAATGTGTAATGCTATATTTTATTGAGCAGTTCCAGAAACTGCAGAGGAGACATCATCAAATAATTTGAAGTTCAAGACAATATATATATTTTTAAACATTTGTAACAGTAGAAGAAAAACAATACTTTCAAGTTAACTTTTAGAGCATGTCAGATGTTTTTGTTGCTCTAAATAAGATTGGTATTGTTTTACAATTATTGTGCTACATTCAGATTATAAAAGTGAGATTTGACAACCCTAAAGTTTGCATCATCACAAGTTTTAATCTTACAAATAAATGTTTGTTTAAAGCCAAAGTAAAGTCTTTTTGTGAACAGTTATTTGATAACTATAAGTTGGATACATGTCTTGTTTTCACCACCAGATGGAGCTCCAGAGTCATCACTTTGAAATGAAGCAGAGGTTTTCTTGCTTTGCACTGTGACATCCCGCGGCATCTTAACGAAAGGCCAGAGCAGGTAAACATATTTCACCAAGTTAAACATTTATCAACAGTTACATTTTACAAACACACCGAGGTAGAAAATATAAGCAATGGCTTTTAAAAGCAATGCAAGCTGTATATCTATAGGTAAGATTGTTGACAATAAGCAAAATACTAGAAATATATATACCAATTATCATACTTAACTTGTGTCCATTGTTAATGTTAACTGTCATCTCTAACTGCACAGCAACATAGGTTACAAATATATTTTTAGATATACAAAGAATAACTAAATTGTTATTCAAATATGAATTATATTATATGAATCACCTATAAACACACACAAACACACACATATTGACACATTTAACACCAATGTTATTTGTGATTTTGATAGTATTGCACGTGTGTGGGCATAGGGGGAGTAATGGTCTTTAAAAGGCTTAGGTTTATGACTGAAATGCACGACTCTTCACCACTTATCTTTGGATGTTAGATGTGAAGGTGCAGCTAGTTAGCTTAGCTTAGCATAATGTCAGGAAATGCCAGTCTACTTAAAACCACCTTGGTTGTATTTTGCATTTAAATACATATGCAATATGTGTTGGAACATTTCTATGCCTTACTTGGTAAGGTTCAGAGGTGCTGGTAGGTGCATTGTGTTTCCTTTTGACAAAGTCAAGCTAGCTGTCTCCCTTGTTTCCAGTGGTTTTGTTTAGCATAGCTAACAGGCTAAAAAGAAGAGAAGGTGGTATCAATCTCTTCTAACTCGCAGCTAAATAAACAACTCAGAATATTTCACAAAGACTTTTCCCTGTGGTGTGGTGGGATATTTTAGGGCTTCATAAAGACAAGTGTAGATAAATCTCACTATCACTTATGACTCAAGTCAGCAGTGATGCATTTTCTTATCTTCCACTGTGAAAAGTCTCCAGGGTTAAAGAAAATCTTATCAAATGGGAGTCCATGGTCTGGGGCATAGCTGTCTTGTTATCCTACAAATGAAAAAAACGATAGTGACGCCACTGTAGGAGTGCATCCATTCATGACACAAATATTTGACCTTTCTCCTCTTAGGCTCGCAGCTTCAACAACTCCCCACCCACCTTAAAGAGGTCATCCCTGGTCTCTCTCCTCGTTTAGACTAATAATAGGTTGCTATTCTTTTCTTAATTCACTGTTTGAACTGCCAAATGCCTCTTTTCTCCACCTTAAGGTGTGGGATATTTTAAGGTTTTGCCTTAGGCTTGAAAGAGTTCATTTTAAATTGCTACCTTGATGACCTCAGTAAGCCCGCTAACTCGTTTCTAATCGTCCAGCAAGGCGTGAGCTGCAGCTGCCGACCTCTGGTCATGACGGGGCTCGGAGTAGTGATTACAAGAGAAGGCAGCAAATTGAACGGGATCCAGGAATCAATGTCTTAAAAATACTTATTTTCTATATATAACCAGTGAAACGACAGGTAGCCTAGGTTTGATGTGTGTAGATATATAAAATGAAAGAGAATACCTGTCAATAACTATTAATCATTCTTACACATTTTGTCATTCCACCTAGGCCATTAGGAACCATTAAGGGATCTGTTTATCTTTGCCCACATGAGGCACAGCAACAGTTAATGGTCTAGGTCCCAGAGGAATGCATGCACCGTCACGCTTTCCCACTTTGCATCGGACACCTGGCCCTCTTTCAGTGCCACCGTGCCATTTACATCTCAAAGGGGGACGACCAAGAAGGCTCTCTCTGTGCTCCCTTCCTCACTCCAGAAATGATCTGATTTATCTCTTCATCAACGGAAATATATGCCTTTAGAGGGCCATCCCGCCTCTCTCATCCCCAAGCTAACCGAGATAGGAGAGGGAGCAGTAAAAAGAGAGACTTGTGATCCTCCGTGTGATCCCAGACCTAACGGACCCCTGTCACAGTGCTTGATTCATGTGATGCGGGTGACTTTCTCCCTGCTCCCAGGCTCAATGTGTTAAGGCACAGGGGGGGTGGATGGCATAACGCAAAGCAAAGGCGCCTGTGTTCCTGAGGTGTCCGATTCCCACGTTTGATGGAGCATGACAGGTTGGCTCAGGTCAAATTAAAAAGGCTGAAGTAACAAATATGAGGACAGACATTGTGATCGTCTGTGCAGGTGAACTTTCCATGGTAGTGGGGGTACAAAGTTATTTATTGCAGCGAGGAAAAACATTAGTCTTTATAGCACTCAGAGGGGGGAATCCGTGTGCCTGAGCCAAGGTGGATAATTGAAACGTCACTGACTGTTTTGTTCTGTCAGTGTGGATCTCTTATGTTCATCTACCAGGGAAAAGCCCTCATCCTTTTGTAGCATTACGGATTAGTTTTTTCACATCACACCTTAAGAAATAATCATTTATAACCTCCTTTTCTACAGCATTGTAGTAATATGTGTCATGAATACTTTGCATCTCCAGTCTCATGCCCTGCAGGTTTCTTATTAAATGAATACATGACTTTCCAGACATAGTTTTGTAAATATTCTCCATCCTCTGGCTCCTTTCAGCTATGTCTGACCACCCTAAAAGAGGACTACTGTTAAAACATTAGCAGGCATTTATAACATTATTGAAGTCTGGAGCAGTGCCCGCAGGCTCAGATATTCCATCAGGGGATATACAAGGCTCTGTGTACCTTGGAAATGAAGTTTTGGCACCTATGCTGTTTCCACTGTATAATCTGCTTCCATTTATGGTCCACTTATATACATGGTTAATACTTAGCTGTTCAATTTAACAAAGAATAACAACTCAAAATGCTCTTGGGTGCATTTAGAAAAATACTCACATGTCATCACGGGTCTCATACCTGCTACTCCCAGTGGATACAAGTCCCACTTTAGGGACCATACGATAATTATTCAGGGCTCAACTTTATTTTTGACTTTGACCCTCCCCTTAATAGTAAATGATTGCAACCCACTCCCTTCTTATTACTCAACCCAAGCCTGATTTTAAGTTTTTCTTGTTGATGAAACAATTCTTTTTACAGAGCCCAAATCAAAAAGCAATCTTAATGATGGCAAAACAATTAAAAAACGTGTACTGTTGCAGCGTACTGTAAACATGCGTTATAGTATAGAAACACAATATATTTAATTTGAACAGTTTTTTTTATAATAAAGAGATCATGTTCATTCACTGTTTACTACAAGCATCCACATTGACCGTTTAGAAACGTATATATTTGTCCAACTAGCAACTAGACATTAAAGGCCTAATTCAGAGACATGACTGCTCATACCGCAATTATTAAATAAAATACAAATCTGGGGGATGGAGAATAAAAAAACATATATACCTTAAGATTTTAGGCCATACTTCCTTCAGCAAAAACCCTCCTAATGAATTTTCTTACAGTGCCTTAGCAGAAATTAACTAACCATTTACTGGTTTTAGGGGGTCAAATGAAGTAGGTCTGTCTCTGTTAAGTGAGATTCAAACATGGGGTGAGTGGTAAACATGCAAGTGAGGCATAGTAATTGTGTCTGCTAATCACCTGCCTGCTTTTACGCCTACAGGATATTCTAGCTCCAAACGATGGGTGTGTGGGGTTATGTGGGGGTAAGTGCTGCACACCTGCATGGCGGTCATACACCTTGAGGAGTTTTAGGGCGTTTCATTTATCTCCAGGAGTCCCCCCCCCCCCCCCCCCCCCCCCCCCCTTGCACCCATCCTCCTGACCTCTTAACCTTCTACATCCCCTGGCTCAGTAGAGCCAGAGGCATGCACAATTACGGCTGTGAAGTCTCGTCAAGTAAATGAAGCATATAAGCAGCAGCTACATTTAACTGACACACATGAAGTCTTTTGACTTGACTCAGGCTTCATTCCCTCCTGGTGCTAATTAAACTTGTCACAATCGTTTTTATCATATGAGCTATTTTTCCCTAATTCCCTCCATAATGAGGACATTGAAACAACCTGAAGTTCCTGGGCCCCCATTCACAGCTGGCTTCTCATTATCCAATCTTACCTCCCTCCACTGGCTCCTGTCCTTTGCATTTTGGGTGGCACTGATAATCAGTAATTAAGAGCCAGGTAGAGCATTGGCTGTTAAATGGCTCTCTCTAGGTGTTTGTTTACTTGTGTGTGTGCCTGTGGAGGCTCCTGGCTGGTGGGTGATGAGTTACAGACACAGATGGTGGGCATCAGCAGGCCGGCTGGGGGCAGATTAGCAGCCCTCCATGTCTGAGCAGCCCCGCTCCTGCTCCCACTGAGCCCCAGAGGACTGCCTGTCTGTAACTCTACTCGCTTTGGCAAGCCTTATGTGTTGATGGAGGCCGACCACGGGCTTATCTCGTCTCATTCCACCATCAGTGGGCCTAGCTGGCTCGGGGCTCCCAGGGAGAAGGGGGCGGGGGTGTCTGCTGGGGATGTCTGTATGAAAACAGCCTTGTTTTGAAAAGGTAATGCTGTTGCCTTTAAAAGTGGCACAGATTTTGTAATTAGAAGTAACTTTAAACCACTAAATGGGGCCTTATCTAAATGCATACTCATTTCGACTTTTATAGCATGGCGTGTAGGTGGTAAACCTTCTTTATTCAGTTACTAGTAAGCCATGGTGACTTTTTATGATTCATAATCAAAGGCTGTAGCCCTCTTTGTGCTCATGTGTGTGGGATGGCGGCTGCCACATGTGCCACCTCCATGGGGATGCGTTGGTAATCCCCGCTTCCGCTGCATAAAAAATGCCTACAGTGCAAATGTTGCCATGATGCCATATGTATGTTACACTGGACAGGAAGCACAGTTCAAACAGTCCAGGTCAAAGGTCATCCAGATGCGATGTAGGGTGCGCAGGAGGGGGGAAACTGGGCAGCCTGTAGGTTAGCGTTAGGGGGCC